TTATCGGTCATGCTCACACCTATCTAAGCTGTTATAATCAAAGCTAGTGACAGCTAACTTCCTATGCTGTATTCGTTTAAAATCTGCGAATGACTACACTAATTCACAGTATTAATTAAAAAATCTAGTACCTATAGTGAAGAGTATCAATTAAAATTCAATTTTGAATTTCTTTTGACATTGAAAACAATAAAAAGAGTTCATAGAGCATTTATATTACTAAACATATTTTTGGGAATACTGAACTTTTTCAAGAAGATTTACGATCTCTGTTCGTATTCAAAATCGACAATTGAAATTTAAATAGTTAGTTATTTCCCGTACATTCATCGTTTCTATAAAGAAAAATAAGTCTAAATAACAAAAACAAAACGACTTAGAAATTAATAAAAATCATCGGGTACATGATTTTTCTTATATTTTGAAAGAGTAGTACACAACGAGTCTCAAAATTAATCAACAAGTTGTTTTTATGATTTTCTACTCACATATTTCAACTTAACGGCTAACTTCTTGTGTTTTGCTCATTTGCATATGCCAGATGATGCTGTAACTGTTTTCGAAGGGATTGCGTCGTTGATTATTGAAAAGATTAGAAATAAAAGGTAGCTCGCACCATCAGAAATAAACTGCACTGAAATTTTATGAAAAAAATTCAAATCTCTCTATACAATATCTTATTAGAACGGGTATATGTAGTATCAACCAAGTTTTGTTTCTAAGCTTTTCTATAAACAACGATGCAATGTTCATGAAAACAGATACACGTCCAATTTCATATATAACATGTTTGTAGAGAAAAACATTCTCTATTAGTCTATACTCTTCGAAAGCAGCTTAGGCATCGTCTTACATATGTAAACGAAGGAATACAAGAAAACTTATGCATCATTAGCACATACATGAAAACCAACTAACTCTACTTTTATGAACAAATAACTAGTAAAATAACACGTATGGTATCCCTTATTTCCAATATGTTACCAGTACGTTCTAAATTGACTCCTCCATTGATTCTTCTTCAAAAATGAAGTACGAAAACAGAAATTATCTACGGAAAGAAAGTTAGCCCCGACTAAATATACTGTTATAAAGAAAAGTCTAAGTTAAAACAAGCACGTAGAGAATCATAAAAATGACTTGTTCATCTATTGTGTGGTACTGAAAAAATCATAAGATGTGATTATTTTTGCAATACAAGCTGAAGAGATGGGAATTCTTGAAATTTTCAGCACACATTTTATGGAAATATGGGCTATATGATGATAAAAACGAGCCATTGGGATAAAAAGGAAACCAAAACAAGTTTTTATTGCTTGTTGATAAATATTCGTACCAATTGTGTATATTCGATGTTTATGTATTCTTTTTCTCAGTCGTATCAGAAAACCTTTTCTTCGACGCTAGAGTCATTAGTAACAATAATTCTATCTTGTCATTTTCATCAACAAGAATAAACAAAAGAAAAATGTCAAAAGTAATAATCAAGCAATTTAAAGTATTACTATAATCTAAATACAGTTATTTTTTCACAACAATTAGCAAGAGAATCAATGAAATAGTTCTCTTTTATCTCAAGTATCTTCTCTATACAAAATAATTCTTGTTTTCTTTGTAACACCATTTCTGAAGAAAAAGAAGCAAACATGAAACATATGCACAATTATTTTGTAGATTTTAATTATAAGAGGAAAGTGGTAATATCCTACTGAATAAAATTATCACATATATATCTCCTCTTTCAAATATAGTTGATGTACTAGCTGCTAATTATGGTTGATGCATGAAGTAGATTACATAAAAAAAAATAATTGCGACAATTATTCAAATATTAGAGAGAAAACAACATAGAATTTTCTTCGTTGCTTAGTATCACAGTTGAAAGAAAAGAAAAATTGATATAAGTAAATACTATCATACAGACATAGGCATAGGCAACACTTTTACTTTTGTCGTAAATAGACTGACAGTATTACTGTTTCAATGATGAGAAATAGATAATGATTAAACATAATAAAGTAAGTAACGTTGAAACTTTTGAAATTTATTTTGTGTCAAGAATTACAGAAGAATTGATAATAACAAGTAAATACATTCAAACAATTTTTGATTTCTTATATTTTGAAAAACATTGTATTTGAAGAAAATTTTTTTCAAATTTCTCATTCACACTTCCATTATTATAACGAGATAAATATGAAATAAAAAATTTCATTCAAATAACAACTCTAAAAATATAATAATCTTTAGAGCAACAATTCAATGAACGATTGTGACGATGGATAAAGCAAGTGAATCAACATCATCTCCTTCTTATAAAATAGTACTATCACTGCTTCATTTCATTCTATTCGTGAGTTAAATCTTTTTTTCAAATCATTCATTTGGTCGTCGAAACTCAATACAAGTGAGCAGACATTAGCTACTCGACTTTTCCACATTCTTCTTTTCATTTCCATCTTGGCAGTCATCATATACGCTAGTCTCATCGTACGAACACATGATGTTACTCTTAAACAATTCTCTCTCGCCGATTTTGAACGATTAGAAACTCTTCATCATAGTACTATCAACGCTCCTTGTACTCAAGTATCCATTTCTCATGAAAACTTCTTACAATTAACACCTCAATTCCATCGAATTTGTTCTAGTCCTTTTATTAGTTCGGAATGGATCTCGTTCCTGTTTCTTTCTAATGCTACTTCTCATAATATTCTCGATTTGTGCACATTCAGTTTTGCTCAATTTCGTGCTCTTGCTTTACTCTGCCAAACAGCACGTCAAGCAGTGAATGATGCATATCATACATATATCTCCACGCATTTGATCACCAGTCATGTACTTAAACGTACTCAATTTAAACAAATCACTGCCGCTCTTATCAATAATTTCAAGCGCAGTATTGCAACCAATGAAAAGCGAACGTCAAAAGTAGTCTCAATGAATATAGCACATAACCGATTGATTTCAGCATTACGCACTAACTATTTTATTCAGTCAGTACTTGGCTCACGCCGTTATGAAACATACAATGGAATCTATATGCAAGAAAATGAAACCCATGCATTTGTATGTGATTGACGATTAGAAAGTCATCAATGCTTCTATCAAGCTGGTGTTTTTATAATTGGACAATGCCACAATTAGGGAAACCAGCAAAATCAATTTCACCACCTCGCTTTCAAATAAAGCCCCCGACACAATAGAAGCCCCCCCTATATTAGAAGACCCCCCTATATTAGAAGACCCCCATAATAGTAGATCCCCTTGAATCAATGACGCAACAGACATGTTAGAAGAACCCCCCCCCCCCCCACAAAACCGCAAATTTACAAAAAACCCCGAGATTGTATTACTGTTTT